AAATAAATATATTTTTTTTTATATAGTTTTTTACTATTTTTTATAAAAACGCCGGGAAGTTTTTTATATTTAATACATTATAAAGTCTTTGGTTAAGTAATTTATTTTTAAATATGTATAACTTATAATTTATAAAGTATTTTTTTATATTTTTTTTTAATAATTAATTAATTTTGTTAAATGTTATTACGTTTTAACCGTTAAAATTTATTTAAAACGTATTTTAAAGATTTTTATTATATTAATTATTGTTATATGTAATAAATTTTTTTGCATAATATATGTTTATAACTTTTAAGCTTGTTTTTTTAACTTAATCCACATTTAGGTTGTTATTTTTAAAGTTATTATATATATATTTTTTTTAATTAATATATCTTTTTTTTATTGCCGTTATTTTAAACTGTAATAAAATTTTAATAAATTTCTTTTTACTGTTTTATAATTAACCTATAAATTAATTATTAATTAATATTAAAGTAATAATAATATTACCATATATTATATAATATAAAAGATAAAAAATAATAAAATAATTTAAATAAAATAATTTAATTAATTATATTTAATTAAATAAAAAAAATAAAAAATTTATTAAATGAAAAATATTTATTTATATATATATAAGTTAATTTCCAGGCAATATATATAAACACAACTTAAATTATATAATATAGTTATATAATTAATATTTTATTAATAAATTTAATTATAAAACTATATTATAATATTTTTTTATTTTTTATTTATTAATTATTTTAAAAATATATTTTAATATATAATATAATAAACTTATATTAATTTATAATATAATTAAATATTTTAATAATCGGGAATATTTTTTAAATTTTAAATTATAATTAATATTATAATTTATAATTAAAAATTATATTTATCCATTATTTTAAACCTTTAATTATTTTATATTAAATATTAATATTATATATTTATTAAATGTTAAATAATTTAATAACGTTTATTATATAAATTTAATTATTTATTTATTAAAATTTATTAATAGTAAAAATTATTATAAAGTTATTATTTTTAATTTTTAAAATTAAAAATAATTATTTGTTAATTTTTAAATTATTTATTAAAAAACGCAATTTAATTTAATTATTTAATAATTATAAAAATAATTTATTAAAAATTATTTAATTTTAAATTATTATAATATTAAATATTTTTAAAATTAAAAAATTATATTTTAAATTATTAAATAAATAAATTTTTAAATTTATGGTTTAATTATTTTTAAATTTATTTAATTATTTATAAAATTAAAGGTAAATAATTAAATTAATTAACAAATTGTAAATAAAAAATCGGTTAAATAATTAATTATTAATTTTTAAAGTTTTTAATTTTATTAAAAATTAAATTATAATAAAAATATTATTATATATTAACTTTTTATTTTAACATTTATTTACAATTAATATTTATAATAATATTGGTAGTAAATAATATTATTATTGTTAAATAATTTAACGAAACGGTTATAATAAAACTTATTAAATTTATCGTTTTTAAAATTTATTTTTTTAAATTATTTATTTTAAAATTTTCGGGAAAATATAAAAAGTTAATTTATAAATATTAATTTTTTAGTAATATTAAATTTACCATTTAAAATTTTTTTTTAAAAATTATAATTTAAAATTATTAATTTAATTAATTTATCTTTTTTTTTTAATAGTTTTAAAAAACGTTAATAAAAGATTAAACTTAAAAATTAAATAATAAAATAATATTAAAAATAATATTAAAAAATAAAAAAAATTAAAAAAATAATTATATATAAATTAATAAATATTATATTTTTATATATTAATATTAAAAAAATTAAATGGTATTAATTTATTTAAAATTTATATATAATAATAATAAATAATAATATTTTTATATATATATAAAATTTAAATTTAAAATTATAAATTATTTTTTTTAATTTTTTTTTTATTTTTTTTATTAAAAACTTTATTTTTTTATTAATTTATTAAAAGCTTTATTTTTTTATTAATTTATTAAAAGTTTTATTTTTTTATTAATTTATTAAAAATTTTATTTTTTATTAAAAATACATATTATTTAAAATTTTTAAATTAAAATTAATTTAATATTAATTATATAATTAAAACTTTAACTTTATTATTTAATTTATTATAATATTTAAAACCCACAATTAAAAGGCATTAATGGGTGCACAAACAAATTGCTTAATTAGGAAATATCTTTAATTTGGCCTGCCATAATAACCCTTTTAAAAGTTGGGTATACAAATCGCGGCAGGTACCCGGCTCATAAGCTGTACCTACATGTACCTAGTCCATAAATACATTTGTATGTACATATGTACTGTGGCTGGTGCATTAAGCTAATGCAATAGGGCGGATGACGCTTAGCTCCTAAAGCAACACCGTTCTCAGTGGATTTCAAGAAGCTCTGTAAGTTTTTTTTATTTACATTCACCCGTCCGATAGGTAACAACCTTTCCCAGAGCAACGGTGCTCAGAGCCAACATTCCTTTCTTCCGAGCTTAGATTCACACGAAAATATCTGCATACAGATTGCATTTTCTACTTCTCGAGCCCGAACCATGCGCTGATCTAAATATTTCTTTTCGTTACAGTTGCGAAGATGCCTCCCGCAATTGCGCGCCGAGCGCCTTACAAGGACTTCCTCCAACCCGCCCTCCAGAGACGATTCGCCTCAACCACCGGAGTTCTATTAGGGCTAGCCTATATTGAGAACCTCTTCTTAGCTAACTGGAGTAATCGTACGTGACGTACATTGCCATCTTCCAATTATATCACGTAGATACCTAACATATTATCAGTGCTGTGGCCATGGTTTCCAGTTGGACCTGCGAGTATTCGCACCCTAGCTATATTCGGCTGTATCCTCCCCATTATAATATTGCGAATTGCCCATTCCCACATCGGCATTCGAACGTCTCATTCACCCTTCGACACTTTCCGCCACTATGCCCTGTCTTTCGCGACGATAGAGACAATAATTACATTCGCTATCTCCGCATGGCTATTCAGCCAAACATACCTGTTATCAACTCCAGCTAGTGCAAACCTCGGTTGGATCACCTACTATAGCGGTGATCGCGCGCGGCTAAACGAGAGAGCACTATTCTACACTGTGAATATTATCATTTTAGGGATTGCCCAGGGCATTTTACATGTGTCCGCGGATTGCGACCGAATTCTTCTAGGGACGGTGAAGCCGAAACGCGAAGGAGATGCGAATACTCAAGCAACAAGCAGTTGGGTACGATTAACCGAATGGGTACCCGTAATCGTCGTTCGCGCCGGGATGCTCTCGATAACTGTTTCTTTAGCCAACTACATTGTACTCTACCATTTCCTCCGACGCTCCGCCTGGGGCTGGGCCTTGTCCTTTTTCCGGCTATTCTATAACCTTCCAAAATCTAATATCCCACCTTCCCAGGCACCATGGAGTATCTGGATGCTGGCGCGATCAATGTGGGCTGGGTTCTTGTTGTGCCTTTTGTGGTATTTTGGCGATATGGTCTTTAGGTTACAGCTTGGAAGACCACCTCTGAAAAACGGCCAGCCACTTAGTGCTGAGTCGAAGGACCCCAATGGGAGTCTATTGAATGGGTTACAGAGCAAGAAGTCACGCATATCGGTATGTTGTTCCCTTTACCTTTCTATTGAAGCATGGCGCTAACGATGTAGGCATTTGCCATGTGGGAATTGGCCTTAATCACAAGGGACTTCGATATCAGAAGGAGAAGCATATTCGAAGATATCGATCGTAAGGATGGCACAATGTGGTCGCAGATCTACGCTACATGCCTGAGCACGATTAAGTCACTGGAGCAAAGAATCGATGAGTACGGAAAACCACCGGCTCCGCCTCCGGTACAACCCAATGCCGCACCTCCTAAACCACAGGCCCGAGTCGTCCAACCCCCGAAGACAGACGATGTTTGGGCACCCGCACCGAGTTCAAGAGGTTTCCGCGACTCGTTAGGCAAGTTCGTTACTAGCGTTGCCACGTCGCCCGGAAAGACACCCGCCGAGGTATACTTGCCGGAGGCAAAGAAGAAAGCGTTAGAGGCTACTGACCACTTACTCACGAAAGAGCAAAAGGAGGCACTCTCCCCCGAAGGTATTAACTCCCTTGCCCAAACTATAGCATTACGATTTTTGGCTCTACCTACATTCGGCATATTCTTTCAGCAACTGTTTAGTCGCCGATTAGCAACTGCTGTACTTGGCCGACCGTATGGCGAACCTAGCATATACGTCAACGCTGCCTACGCTCTATCAAAGCTAGCAGTGTCCAGTTTGACGGAGGACCAGTATGGTAACGTCCAAAGAGATGTACCGACCATCATACGGACGTTTACGGCAGTGATCAAAAAGCTAGAGAGATTCAGGGACGGATTTCCGATGCACTGGACAGATCTTAGAAAGAATCGGGTGTGTCCCGAGGTAGACGAACTGCTGGAAGCGTTGAAGGACGGACTAAACGAGCTCATCACGGCATTTGGGCAGTACAGCAGCGATTTGAGGCTCACGCGGGCAGACATGAGACTAGCGAGGGAAGCCGCGGAGAAGAAGCAGGTGGAGGCGGTGGCAGAAGTACCGAGACGCGCCGCAGCAGCCCGTACGGCAGAGGCTCAACCGCAGATGCAGCAAGTACGCTAGTGGCAGCGGCTGCTCGTATCGAGTCTCCAGGGCAAATTGACCGAGTTACATTAAGTGTAATAGTAGCTATGGGTACAACTTTATGATAAAATTGGTTAATGAAGACGAAAAGAAATCTTGTGTTGTTAAATATATTTGGCTGTGGAATTGGTGTTCGTCTTAAAGACATATCTCTTTCACCCAGGTTTTAGTAATGATCTTACAGGTAGGTTGTATTTACAGTGTGGCAGTGCCACAAAAATCCTACATACATAAGGTGATCTAGAATCTAGACAGTGATCGTCTTAGGTTAGGTAGTTAACTTAAGTTTCAGCTACTACGTTTCCTCCCTCTCTATCGTCCAGGAAATTCTAATTCTTACATCACGACATACCAAGGCGACCCAGAGCCATATATGCTCGGTGTTTGTTGTTCCGGAGATATTTCAACTTTGCAACGGCTTTTCACTGATCACGGCATTCAACCCGGCAGTAAGCCTGTCTATCCGAAATTTATTGACCCAGGCAGCCCTCAAGAAGCATTAACTACAACTATGGGGCTCCAAATTCCCCCTACGGGCAAATTGCTCGAGCGAGCTGTAGCAGCGGAACAAGTCGCCGTCGTAAAGTTTATTCTTCATATGTACCCCTCGTTCTCGCTCATGCAGGAGCACGGGATCGTCCGCGCGGTCCTCGAGCACCCCAATCCAGCAGTATTGCAAGTTCTCTTATTGCAAGTTCTCTGCGGCCACAAACGTGGCTTTGCTAGCTTCTCTATCGACTCCGGCATGCGGTGCTTTCTCACGGCGGGGATGCGTGTGCCCGGCCGCCGGAGGAGATCGGACCGGTGCTGCACGTGTTACTGGACTACGGCGCCGACGTGCATGATGGGTGGGGCCCTGGCGGAGGCGCGTTGTATGCAGCGGTGATTGGTGGGCAGTCGCTTGAGATTGTGGAGAGGATACTGGAGAGGACTGGCGCGGTTAGTAGGCGGAATGTTAGCGAGGCTTATACGGCGGGGTCGGGTGGATGTTGTTGAGCTGCTTTTAAATCATGGACGATTTGGTCCGGGGGTTGAGCCGGAGGAAATTGTTGCTGTTGTGCGGTCTTGGACTCGGCGGACTGAGGAGAAGGGAAAGAAGGGGTTACTTGTAGGATATTGGGAAAGGTTTAGAAACATTGCTAGGTATATAATAGGGTTGGCACAGTTGTCATACATAAGACTTGTTAGGTATTTAGTGAATACCATGGAAATATATTCTCTTAGTTTGTGCGGCTTATATATTTATTTACTTCATTAATGATGCTCAGTTAGACCCAAGATCTAATATTATTCACATTCATTTCAGGTTACAGCCACTTAAATACATTTACTAACGCTTAAAGTCAAGACAAACGCATGTTAAAGTATGAGACGGGAATAGTGTGAGGCTGATGCAACTAACTATGTACGTACGTAGAGCTGAAACGGAGGGTACACGAGGCGCCCAATCACACGTCATTCAAATGGAAGTGGGGAAACTAAAATCCCGAGTGGCATTAACCCCTGCAAATAGCATCATACAATCTAATCTCCTGGTGAATTACAAACACGGTTATCTCAACTTCACCCTTACCTCTTCCTTTCTTTCCCCATCCATCTAGGATGTCTTCGCGCAGCCCTCTATGGATCTTATAATCGGCAAGTCTTAATTCTATCGCACGGCCTAAGGAATCGTCATGAATACTCGTCTCTTAATATGAACTTCGATTACACTCCTTCAACTTGGTCGCTCGTCGCCTAATAGCCGGAGCCTCTGCCGCCCTGTGCCGCGCGACACAAGAATGTTATAATACTCGATCCTAATACCTGGCGCGTCATAATGAAGAGCGCCACCAACCTTGTCTCTCGCATAGCCTACAATTCCATCTATCTTCTATTATGTCTTCTTCTCGCCGCTTTATTTCTTGTCGTTCCCGGCGATTTTATCCGCCAGGATCTGTTTTCCTCCGGCCAATACATCAACTTAATCGTCCTCGCGATTGTCTTTGTCCTTACCGTACTAATCGTTCTGTTCATTTACATCTTGCGACTTTATGTTACCCGGACAGTACTGGCTTCGATACCCAAAACCTGGATACCCATTGAGAAGGGAGATGTCCCTAAGGAGGTCCGCGAAGTGATCGCTACCGATCTTGGCCGCAGTGCTGCCATCGCGTTAGGGGCGCATCCAAAGGTCATAGCGCCGGTAATTCGAGCGACATCACTAGAAGATGTAGCAGAGGAAGGGGTTACAACCGAGGGGAATATAAAGAAGCCAAGAAGATCTTTTCAGTTATTTAAGCCGAAATCGCCCGCAACAGTAGAAGAGCAGCTGGGTATCTCATTTCCTCCCTTGCGCCCCGTTTGGGGTGAGATTGGGCACGACGGCTGGGGTTCACCAAGCTCACCAGATTTGCCCAATGTTCAATATAGCACAGTCCTCTCCGAGTTGCCGAACCTGATTGAAGCTAAGGCGGTCTCTCAGGCGCCAATGGATCCGACCTCTGCTATGAACCCCCCAATGTTTGATGCAGACTCTGTTTCTCTCCTCCAGCGCCGTTCTAACATGACGATGAGGGACTACGTCATGCATCTCATTAGCGTTGGCGTGCTGTTGAGTTCCCAAGAGGTGTTTGAGTTCCTTGATAGCTATGAGCGTGCCCGCTTCTCCACTCGCCCCATGTCTAATGCACACTTCCGGCAGCTAATGCATCTTTTCGCCGAGCTTCTACGTGCAATGCAACCTCTGGACGCAGCCTCTTTATACGAACCTCGCAGTCCTAACGACGCTTACTCTGAAAGCGACGGGCATATCGACGATGACGCCCCTCGGGACACCAACCCGACTACACCTGCGCGGAGCGGGTCAAGTTCCCTTAGCCTCAGCGGGAGCACGCGCTCGCGTACCCGTAGGCTGACCTTGCCGGACCGCAACTCTTCAACCCATACCTGGCACCAGTATCGTACCGCGCCGACGACGCCGAGGAGTAAATTCGGTGGTAGGAGGACATCGCAGTCTACCAGCTCAAGTAACGGGGGGAGTTTCGCGCAAACGAAGCGACCATATCCTGCCAGTCGAACATCGAGCGCAAGTTTTAGGTCCGCTTCCCAGTCTTCTATTATCCGGCTTGCGACAAGGGAGGACCGCGGTGACCTACCATATGTACTAAGAATCGGAGAGTCATTCTAAACCCTAGCGCCTGTACTATTATGCGGGGGAAAGCATTGAAAATGGATAGTTGCATAGTGCCGGCGTTACGCTGGGATCACGGTTTGTATATGAACTTTTTGATATCTAATTTAATGTTTTCATTATCAGGTGATATCCCATCAGGCCAACGTTGCGATGCATACGTACATTCCCCCCCCCCGATGAGATGTGGCTCACCATAATTCCAACTCTTGGTATCCTGCGCCAGGCGCCTCGCTTCCATTATCATATCATAAACATGTACCGGGCTATATGGTATCTCACCCTACCCCTTAGCAAACTCAATAACCTTACCTATGATTGCATTAGCATGTTCTCCAGACAGAAGATCTCAGTACAAACTGCTCGAATTTGACCAATCAAAAATTTCGCTGGGTTTAACGTATGCCTATTACGGAATGGTTTCATTACTTATTGAACCAATCGGGTTTGAGCAGCTTGTACTACGATCTCATGCCGCCTCGAAGAATACTTAGGGCAGGGAGGGACAAGGGAACAGTGCACCACCCTATGGTTCATCGACAGGTTTGGGTCTCGACGACATGCGACATGCGACATGCGACACATATCGCGCGTGGAGGTATAAGACAGACGAAACGAAACGTACTGATTCGGCCTCTGGGCGAGTTTTGCCAAGGCGTCCTCGACTTCGCGATTGACCTTAACATTTCGAGGAGTTATGTTCAAGTCGGTGTTTCGAAGCCCGACGAGAGTGTTAACGGGGGCATCGCCATTCAATACACCAGCCGTGTACTCGTGGATACTCTGAGTAGAGTATTGGCCTTGAGTGTGTTTGGAGTTGACACTGGTTCCCCCTGGTTTGGCAGAGCTAAATCAAGGAAGTACCATCAGTCAGAGCTCGCGTTGGCTTAGACTAGGGGCGGGGTGAGAGTAAGAGGGAAAGAGGTGAAGGCTTTATATGCTATAGTGCGACATCAATCCGTAGAAAGGACGATGGATGGTATAACGGGCAGTCATAGTTACTAACTTGACAATAAGGTCTTCGATTGGGAAGAGGGAGCGGGCTATGTATGGCCATTGAGGACGGCAAGATAAGGCTTACCCATTGACGGCCGCGTTGGATAACTTGTTCATAGTTGCTTAGGTATATTCGGGAGACGAGACGAGAGTGCGGGAAAATAGTATGTGAGCTGTGGGAATATGACTATACAAGATTTTAGGAAGGCTGATCGCTTCTCGTTCACGAGTGACTTGTTTGTCCGTCATATTTTCAGCAAGCGTAAATGGTAGAGAGAATACAGCATCTTTATATAAAAGAAGACCGACCGATACGATACAATTCGATCCCGCATATTATGTACAAAAGTATCCAGGTCATAACCTTCAATGCGGTGTCGTGATGAGCAATGCAGGATCCGGGCTTGGTTCCATAAAAGCTTGTCGAGATCTCATCGCCTACCCTCCGAGATGCTTGCAGTTTATTGGCTACCCCCCAAAAAGCTGACATTCTCATGGCTCACCCCCGACAATGTCGTTGCCCACCCCCGACGATCTGATTGCCCACCCCCAAGAAGCGTCCAATCTCGGCGCCCACCCCCGACAATTTGATTGTCCACCCCCCCCCCCGACCGTTTGTGGAGCTGAACTACATATATACAAATATTGTCCGCGAACCATGTCCTCAAGTGCGAGAGTGCTACACAGTAAACGTTTTTCGGGGGTATATCCAATCAAATTACTTACATCCAAAGAGGTTTACTGTGTAGCACTTTCGCACTTGAGGACATCTTAAGATTATTTCATTCACGAACTTAACCAAGATGAAAAACCGTCTTTTATAAAATGTTCGGTATTATAAAAGGATGCTTTTATTATTAAACCTTATTTATTATATTATAATTTATCATATAGTCTACATTAAAGGCTAATATTTGATAACAATTAAACATTAAATCTTTAATAATTAAATTATTCTAATATCTTGACGTATAATACCTAAACGCAATTTTAGCTTCGACATAAACGTATAAAACTACCACGGATACCATCCGCGATGTACGAACCTACTAGGTTAGGTCAACCGTAAGGTCGTTATTTCGCCTTCTAGTGGGTTAGGCAGGCTGGGTAATTGATGAATGTAAGAATTCGGGATAGTAGGGGTAGGGGTTGTATCTTGTCTTGGCGGCATGGCTGGCCACATGTTCCCCTGGGACGGCAGAAGCCGCATGTCACATCTGATGATGAGGCTCTCGTGCATCGAATACCTACCTAATGCTAGGTACCTATGTATGCAGTACTGCTAGTATTATTAAGGACTTTTCTAGGTTAAGGGGAAACAAAACTTAGGCCTCGACTACCGATGACGCTAGATTCGTGCTGCTCTATTCGTCAGGACAGGACTTGTAGGTAACACTGCATTAGTTGGGGATAAAAAAATTAGGCAATCGATAAAAACCGTGCGCCGGTAAGTTCTAAGTAGAGCCAAGTTGCCTTATGTCTCACACTACCTTACCCCTATGATAGACCAAAGAACAGACTGGGGGCAATGAAGATTTCCGAGCTACTGCAACTCGTATGCCAAGTCTTTTACATTTCTGCCATAACATAGCCGAGACGATCATAAAGGAGTTACTGATAATACCAAAGTTCCCTTTACAGCCCAAACACTATATACTCCATATGGCAGAACCGGTAGATATCCGGCCTATATCCGATTTTGAGAGCCTAAGGATCTTCATCCTTCGCATCTTCTAGTGTGCAGGTATATAGGATTAAGTAAGCATGAATCAACTATATCTGCTATTATGGGTTATAGCGACTTTCGCAACAGTTCACTTAGGTAGTTTAGCGATAAGCATATCAGCCATATCTACGGCGTGCGTTCACTACCTACCTAAGTATATACATATTAAGACAAATGTAGATAGTAGACGGCGATTGCTTACCTACCTATATAATAGGCATGTTACGTTTAAGTACTGGTAAGATGAAAGTTCTAAAGTTATTAGCTGGCATTCTCCACAATCTTCCCTTCCTCCTTTCTATCATATAGTTAGATACATTGCTAGAGGTATACAATAGCTACATGTAGTAAGTCAGTGTTTCTGCGGCATCCCATCTTGGAGTTATCTCTTGATCTAAATCCCGTCGGCCATACCGCCCCTCCTGCTACATCCATCACGGAGGCAACCGGCAGGCAACTATCTACAACTTCCCGACCGGCGGATCTGTGCTGGCTTTTCCGTGCTCACAAACAACCAACAAGGGCCCTTCTCGGCCGTCTGCGGTTACGGTCCTCATCTCCCCTCTTAGAGCGCATAATTTGCGACCAGCGTGCAAGATGTCGCACTTGATATCGACGACGGTACCAACTGGAACTGGTCGTAGGTAGGTAACATTGAGCGTGCGGCTGACGCCCGTATACTGCCAAAAACCGGGCTTCGAAATAAGATGCAGCGGCAGCGTAGTGCAGGCATCAAAAATAGTGGATGCGCATCCGCCGTGTAGATTACCGAGACCGTTGCTATGGATAGGCTGCACAGTAAATCGGAAAGTGATGCTAGGATGCGGCGGAGAGGACGAGTGCGAAACAATAGACAAGTAAGGCGCTATAGCTGTCGTCCATTCCTAAAGTACAGTCAGTACATGGTTGTAAGTGGACTTGGAATCTTGGATGTTCGATATAAGTCGTTAACTCCTTGAATTTTCATTCGTCTACCTCATCCCATGAGTACACACTCTTATGTCGAATAAGAATATTATAACTAGATTCTAATAGTATAGGGTACCACGTAGTAGATACGAGAAATTTCGTAAATACGCATCGACACGAAGGATGAAGACTGCGGGGATGAGCTTACATGATTCTTCGGGTCTTGGGATTCTGAGGCCAATTTCAAATACGCCTCAACCTTCTCGATACCGACAAGCGGCTTTAAGGACTCTAAGATGGTCAACCCCATAGGCGCATCTTTACCACTTGGAGACCTAGACATTATTTAAAATGGAAAAGGAGGTGAACTTTGAGATGAGTTGTTCGCCAAAGGATCTCAACTAGGTATGTGTTGATAAGCTGAAGGTTGCTTATCGCCTCGGTAAATAAAAGACTGGTACTAGCCAAAATAGATATATGAGCACGGTTAGCAGGTTAGCAGTCTAACCGAAGCATCTTGAACGTGTACTTACCTAGGTAAACTATATCGCAATTGAGGAGCAAACTAAGTGTATAAAACATTTAGTTATATGATAATACCTTGTTATAAACTTATTTTTAATACTACCTAGTTATCCAGTTAGCCATTCTATCAGAATTGTAGTTGTAAGTTGTTTCTATCACTTATACCAGATTCCCCGCTGGCATAAGTTTATTATTTGGCTCACCTACAAAATCTTAGTGGTCAATGAAACGTCAACACAGAATTTATTTGAATTTTCATATAAGCCCATAGTACGTCAATTGTTATAATTTCCGAATATCTCTATGTTGTCATCTGCTCGAACACGACGAAGCATTGACAAGATAGTTCTCGCTTCTATTCTAGAAAACTAGCCCATATCATCTTCCCGCTACCCAGCTTATATATCCGGACAGCAGCAATGTTCAAAGGATGCAATAACAGACCACCTCTTGCTTGACCTACCCGTATCTTCAAAAGCGGTGTATGGTATTGGTATCATACTGTACCTGCTAGAAATCTGATAGAGAAAGCCTTGCCCGAACTACTAGCCGAAACGCGGAGCGCCTACAACTTAGACAAGGCTACGCGCGCCATACGATCATATGAGCTAGGGAATGTAATACTAAGGTGATAGATACTTACATTAGTATTGTAATTTAGAACGATATTAAACTGTTAACAATGCGGTGGAACAATAGCGGAAAATGAGAGAAAAATATCGAGTTAGCTAGTAGTCCCTCTACCTGGAGGATGGGCTGGTGAACTGAGGTTAATCTTCTTAGTGTTGCTTATTATTAAGTGACTTGAAGGTGCACTTTACCGAGCCGAATCTCGAGTTCGTCGAAGGACTGCCGATGCAAAAATTGTGGATGATGTTGTTGGGTATAACGGCCCGGTTTTTACTCATGGAGACGGATAAGGTATTGAGGCGTCTAGCTGAGGTATGCGGGATGGTTGACGGTGATGCAGCTAGCTGCAACATCTGTCGTGCAGCATTGGACGCATTGGACATCGTGGTGGCTTACATAATGTCCCATTCCACAACAGGGGGCTTTTGTGTCATGGTGGTCCGAGCTTAAATATTACAGATATGTACGAAGTAAACACAGTTGCTAACACAGCTTTCAGGGGAAGTTTTGACTTTGCCTTGTGTGGCAGTTACTTGATTGGCTGGGTTAGAAGTGGTTCGGGGCGGCAATGACCTAATCTGGCACAAGTTTTGGGGAATACGTACCAAGAGTATGCCAGAAGTACGTACTGTCCTCTTCGCAGGCCAGCAAGTCGACCTTGACAGCTTTCCAAATCCATCACGTCTCGGAATTCTCAACTTTTGCCATTTAGATTGACGATAACATAACGTCGGGATATTCCCATCACGCGTTACGGCACAAAACGAAATCGCACCGCCGAATAGTTCGTTATACTGTACTGCGACGCATTTATTTCGGGTCAAACAATTTGTATCATCTCTATTCTCTTCGCTCATTACTGGCCCTGTTTAATTCTTTTTTCTTCTTCTAATCCTCCACGAACGAGAGCTCCTTTCTTCTACAACCGCGACTTTATTCGAATATTCAATATTTCGCGAACGAGAAACGTACCGAACCTATCACGCTAACGATCTGCTCCGTTCTACTCATGAGACCTTGGGCCAATTGATTTCCCCACCGTCGCATCTTCTCCCTCTCCGACATAAAGTCGTATTTCGTGGAGGGCACTTGCAACGCAAATGCGCATGTTGAGAAGTCGACCTCAAAATAAACGGTGAAGACGGCTGTGAGGGCTGAACACCGTCAATCTAGTAAGCCGGAAACTCAACACTCGATGAGTTGGCAACAGGTCTCCGCTATGGGAAACGGTGGGAATGGATCCGGTATGCCGGGCGCCGGTGGTCTCGGCGGCGGCCAAGAGTTATCTGGCGGAGGATTGCCCGGCAATCCGTCAAATCAGCCGCATGCTACCGAGTACACATTACAAGGTATATTTGACTCATCCGATCTGTATTTTAGATTCCTCTCGGCTAACTTACATGCGCTCGACGAATAGGTGTTATGCGCTTCCTTCAAACCGAGTGGCATCGACACGAGCGAGATAGAAACGCCTGGGAGATCGAACGTCAGGAGATGAAGGGTAGAATAGCCGCCCTCGAAGGTTCCGCTAGGAGAGCAGACGCTACACAAAAGGCATTAAAAAGATATGTCACCATCCTGGAGAAGAAGGTTAAAGACCAGGCTGCGAAGCTGAAGGTTTCTTCTGCCGCTTCCGCCACGGATCACTCCGTGAAGCAACCTCAGAAGATTGATAGGGCTGCCTTGATACAGGAGAAGCTCAAATGTACGTATCAAGATGAATAACTGTACGAGTGTGTAGTATTGACTTCATTTCTAGCATCGGACGAGAGACTGAAAGAGTCGGTGCCCGGTTTGGAGGGTCTTGTTGGCGAGCGTGTGCAGGAGGACGAGGAGCGCGACAACCTTAGGGTCTTCTTGGACCAGTGCCAAGCCGAATTCACCTACCTAATGGTCTCACCCGCGAATCCTATGCCTCCTCGAGAATCTCCGCCCTTGCCTATGATGGATGACTTGAGAGAAGGAGACTTTGGACTACCTATCTCTCAACAACCGCTCGATACAGCTTTCCAGGCGTTGAGACTTAGTCAGAACCATGCGAGGGACCCGGCGCCCCGCCAGGGTGCTGTAAATACGAATAATCATCATGGTCAGAGAATGCCGCATAACGTTAACTTGCCAACGTCAGAGAACCCGAACTTACAATCTGCCCCTATGATTCGGTCAGGGGAGGGTGCCGCCCCGATGTACTCGCACCCCGGTGAGTGGCCGGCCTCCAACCAACCGGGTGCTCGTATGCAAGAAGATCCAAACGCAAAACCAAATCATCTTAATGAGCCTTCGCGCTCTGATTTTGGTGAAAGTCCACTAGAGAAGCGAGCGCCAGTTGATGGGGATGCTTGGGATTTTGGCGAAGGAGCCTTCCCCGATCCAGCTGCGGCGCAGCAATTACAACCTCTTACGCACCGTCCGGACACGGATGCGTTTCCCAACGCTGAAAGTGTACCCCAGTCTCCTAATCGTGGCCCTAATTCTCATAGGCGGAAGACGTCCATGTCTCGCAGGAAAAGCTCAGAGCATGAGCTCTCTCTGAATGGTGTTGCACAGAAACCAGAGAGTGGCAGTTTTAAGTTGCGATATGGATTGCGTGGCCATCTTAATACCGTCCGAACCGTAATATTTTCCGGAGGTGGAAGTCCCGGAGAGCCAGAAATCTGCACAGCAGGCGACGACGGACTGATCAAGCGATTCCACATTCCGCGTGAGAATCCAAGCCATATTGGGACTATGTCATCTGATCTCGATGTGCCAGCTGACTTCACCCATCGTGGACATACTGGCGCTGTATTATCATTGACGTCTTGGTCTCCTTCTCCTAATTTTTCGACCGGCGGCCGTGCCCAAGGTGATGGATGGATATTCTCCGGTGGGCAAGATGCGACCATCAGAGTATGGGAACGGGGTAGGGTAGATCCGAAGGCGACGCTCGACGGTCACAGCGACGCTGTTTGGGCCATATGCGTACTTCCTGCGACCCTCGGCGCTGTCTTTGGCCAATCAAACCCTTACGGTACCCCAGATCGCATCCTGGTCGCCTCTGGAGCAGCTGATGGCGCTGTGAAAATCTGGGCCGTCAGTGCACCGCCACAACTCACCTCACCTCAACCGGGACCGCCAAGACGGAGCACCGGAAGCGGTCGAGTCAGAGGTAACTCTATGAGCTCCGGATCTCAGTTCCCAAGTTCACCCCAACCAAACATGGCTTCGAGTTCACCATTCAACTATACACTAATACATGACATCCGCCGCTCTAACGGATCCCGGGCGTCACCGACGTGCATTACTCCGTTATCAGCCAGTGGAGAGGCATTTGTAGTTAGTTATTCGGACGCTGCTATTATCGTGTTCGATACAAGAACCGGTGAGGAAATTGGCTCCATGGCTAGCCTTGAAACGTACGACAATACGATTGGCACTAGTGTCAATGCCGTCGTCGCGACCACGGCGGGCCTTGATCAAAGTTCTGGATCAGGCCTAGGCGACGACGATGCCAGTGGTCCAACTGGTGGTACGGGCACAGCTGGTAGCGGGGTCGAGGGCGTTATTATATCAGGGCATGAAGACCGTTTTATAAGGTTCTTTGATGCCAATAGCGGTGAGTTATTAGAGGAGGTACCGTACCTAAGTATGTATATCGCTAATTCTTTGAAGGTCAATGCACATATAACATGCTCGCCCACCCGGCATCAATATCGTCCCTATCTCTCAGCCCTGATGGCCGCGAGCTCGTATCTGCTGGCCACGATGCAAGCCTTCGATTCTGGTCTCTAGAAAAACGAACCTGTACCCAAGAGATCACCAGCCACCGAATTATGAGAGGAGAGGGCGTATGCGCCGTCGTATGGAGCCAAGACGGTCGATGGGTTGTTAGTGGCGGGGGAGACGGAGTCGTCAAGGTCTTTGCGCGGTAACGCGTACTACTTAAAGGTGTTCACAGGGAATATGCAAGGGGAAATTTTGGTAATAACATGCCACTCGGTTAAGGAGTTGGTAGAGCTATTCTTCGGCAGAACGAACATCTCACTCTAGACGGACGAATTCATCGCGATGCTCTCGACTATTACACAAGACGCATCTACAACATTGGAGAAACTGGTTAATGCATGCATGCATGGCAAGGGGCTACATCTGAGTCTGATTAGGAAGACTCGTGTATAAAAAAAGTTTACAAAACTTCAGAATAATGGGGGCGCGGCGTTTGTACCTAGCAAACATAGGATTGTTCCAGACCTATTCTTCTTAGCACTATGCCTAGGATAGATAGTAAGTAGGTAGTCTGGTTGAGATGCGATTGATGAGCTGAACGGAGCGGAGCCTAGGATTGACACAGGGAAGGAGGCCGCGAAGTTCTTAATGAATTCTTAACGTGTAGATATGAGCATCGCTTGCTATTGCCACTACTAGTTGCGGAGCGCAGCACTTTGTAAAAAAGAAAAGAAAAAAAAAGACATTAAGAGAATCGAGTTGTATTCTAAGCCGTGGAGACATGATGCATGAGA